GACGTTTCGAGACCATGCGGTCCCGTCCTCAGGGACCGCATGGTCTCGAAACGTCGCTAAGGAGATGTGTGTTATCTCAGTCAAAACGCATTGACATTTATCATGGAGTGCGAGTGACTTTCATCTATCTACATTATGTAATGCCCAGTCACCCAATGTGAGGCCTCCAGAAGACCATCATGTAATGCCCACTTCCCCTTATTTACCACTACACATTTATATTGTCTGTCTGCAGATTGGTACCCGGTCACATTCAAACGAGAGGATCTAAACTAATAAAACACAAAATTCTATTTGCCTACTGACTTAAATCTGCACAAAAACCTTTGTTTCCAATCAGATTGGAGGTCTGTGTCGGCCATTTCCAACACTCCCCGACAACTGATTTGATGTGATTACCATGGCCACTGCCTGCTACTGATGTGCTCCTATGTATTTTCCCTGAAATGGTTCACACAAACCACAGCCATGTTACGTGATGTAACCAGTTCCAAGTTCTCAATATGCAGTTGAACTGCTGATGCATGCACTAACATGTCAATGGCGGTGATTGCTATGAGGCAAGTGTAAGACTTTGCTCACCATGAGGCGGTAACGGATGCCTTAAGTTGGGCTGCTGGGGTGGAATTCCTTGCTGTTGTCCCATCAGAGCTCCTAGCGGTCCCACAGCTGAATTTCCCATACTGCCCATGGGTGCCTGGCCCGGCCGTGGAAGATTACGCTGGTATTTCAGGTGCTGGGCACGTTTCTCTTCCTGAGGACAGAGCACAAAGCTTAGAATAAAGACAAATCAAGAACATTCTAGATTTAAATATGCAGAGACTTCAAAGGGGGTTACAGTCACCCAAGCACTGTCACAGCAGAAACAAGAGACAGACTTACCAGTGAAATATCCTCATCGGGATGGATCAACTTACTAGTGGCACTAGTAGTAGTCAGGGTAGCAGGCTTACTTGTTATGGATGGAGATGGTTTAGCAGCAGTGCTATTGGTGGTGCTAGTGGTTGACATTGTGGACTGCGTATAAGCAGGAAATGTTGCTTTAGGTGGCTCAGACGTCGTAACTGGGGCACTGCTTAATGGTTTGAAGTCTGTTCCAACCGGGCCTGACACCGATGAATGAGCCTAGAGAGGAAATAAGTGTTACTAAAAGAAATGAGAAAACAATCCAAGATAAAGCACAAAGGGCAATGCAAGACCACAAAGCAGCAAATGCTCTAAATAGCCAAAAATAAAACCTGGTCCTGATGCCAACACATTTCACCAAGTCAAACGCATGCACAGCATCCCCAAAACACAGGCACGTTACTTGTGTACCCACAAGGGAAAGCATGTTCAGGGGCATAAGGCCCACAAGGTAACAATCTTGCCTCTGGGGGGGATCACCACATGGGATCCTGACCCCAATCCAGATCATCGCTCTATGCCCACTGGGGAGGAAGAATTTCATCTCTCCTGCTGCCTATACTACATAACCAGCAGAAGGTGAAGCGGGATGACAGTGCAAGTGAGGATTTGCTGACAGACATCATGCAATAAGCCACTATCTGCCCAATCAATGCTTTGCAAACAGCATGCATTAACCCTTTAGACTTATCATACAGGACATGTGTAAAGGGTTAACTTGTGTAGCCAACAAAAAACTGCAATATCCTGCATACTTGTGCAGCACTAGGAAAGAGGGCTTTAGCAGGTGCAGAGAGGGTCTCCGAATTGGAGGACGATGTTGAGCTTGTGACAAGTGATCCCATCTGCAGCACAAAGAAAGGAAGCGGTGAAGAAACCAAGAGAACAGCTCGCACACTAATCCAGAAGTACACGCTTCATACACACTGGTCCAGAACAAAGACAGGTTCACTTACCATCTACATCAACCCAGAACAGACAATCACCCACTGCACCTACAGGGGTGTGGAATTCCTATTGCCCAACGTCAGGGACATGCAGTTCTGGGCTAGTAGTTTGGTACATTTAGCCCTGTATCGGGCAAGCGGTGCTAAATATACAGCAGGAGCAGCTGCCAAAAACCCTCCCACTGATCTTCAGTGTTTAGAAGGGGGAGCGTGTGAGACAAATGGGAGGATTTGGATCAGTCAAGGGAGGTAAAGGGGAGTTTCAAGTTTACCTTGTGAGGCTTGTGCATCACATAGTAACTGGATCTGGGACTTTAGACCAACAAACAGGAGCCTTTAGTTGGACTTTGAATATCACAGTTCTAATAGCAGCTCCCATACGTTATAGGCTCAGTTCTGCACCATTCCAGGCCACCCATCCCAATTACTACACTACAAGGTGTAAATGCATCACCTGCAGCATTCAGTACAAGGCTTCTCAGTCAATATTTGGATGTAACATCACTTAGATAATGATCACTCTTCAATAGGTCCTTACCTGTCCAGCACTGGGAAAGAGTGGTTTGGGCACAGACTGCATAGCAGGGGCTGATGTACTGGGTGTGGGTAGCCTGCCCATACCTGGTGCGGAGATTTGCTGATTTTGTGTGGTGGCCGGTATGCCAGGACGAGGTCCTAATGGAGGAGGGACACCTAGAGAAAAACAAAGCAATGGTCTGTATACATTGATAGCCTTCAATACATGTGACACTGGAAGCAATGTCTGGAAGAGGAGAACATACCTGGAGGTAAGCCAGCCATCATGTGGGGCATTCCTGAGGCAGCGTGCATCATGCCACTCATTGACAGCATCCTGAACAATGACATTTAAAAACATGAATGAAGGATTTGCCTGGAGCCAACTACATTCATTTCAGCAGCAGTCTAATAATGGAGTGCAATATAGAAATGCAGCAAATAGGTCATCACCATGTATCCATCTCTCTAGTTCCCCCATGGGAAGATTGACATCACACAATCACAAGCTTATGAGGATCACATTAGACTGTCAATGTTTTCTTTAGTTTCATTCATATTCCATGTGACCAGGGGGTGGTTTGATGACAATTTACTATATACCATGGTATCCACGTTGGGCAGGCTTTTCTTTATATAGCGGTATTACTACATATGGGGTGTGCTCAGTCTTCCCTTTATCTGATTGATATTTATATGCAGTGGAACGGAGGTTGTATTACGTGTGAAATGACTGATCAGCGCTACAGATTAATGGTGATTTGCCGTACAATTATCTGCACAACATTATAACAATCTCACTAGGGCTCGGGAACTGAAATGTTCTTGTACTGAACACAGGGCAGTATACATGCAGCACACAACCCGAATCACATACTAACCCATGATGCATCCCTTGCATTCCTGGTGGGATTCCTGGCATAACCGGGGGCACATGCGGCATCAGTGGTGGTATTCCTTGAGATAAAGGAATCATGTTATTACATATGGAAAGGCAATCCGCTAAAGCGTGTAAAGAAAACTCCTGAAAGTAAAGCAGATTTAACATTTCCTGTATACAGACGTGAGAATAATGCTCGCCACCCTAGACTGATATACAACTAGCGTTGTCCACAAAATAGAAGCACCACCTACAGCCAACACAGGAAGGTAGAGGATCACATGCAGTGGCTTACCTGGAGGCATGCCTGGAGCACCTGCCAAGCCATGGAGGCCTGGCTGAGCCATGGCTGACATGTAACTTTGCTGGGGCTGCATTTGTGGGGGAAAAGAGGAAGAAGGGCCAGATTCATCATCATCATCATAATCCGAGTCGTCCATTCTCTTTTTCTGTCCATCCACTATGAGAGAGCATACACATTCATTAGATCACTATACCCAGATGGCAGCATAGGTTGTACTGTGACCACAGTATGGTACATTGCCAGGACACACCTTGTGTCTTCTGTTCCAGCATGCGTCTCCTTTCCTCCATGTCCTTCTCAGGAATGCCCTCCATGCCATAAATTTCCAGCTCAATGTCTGTGCGCCCGGGGATGGCATTCGGTACAGCATCAATGGTCTCTTTATGAACCTGTAGTAAGGGAGAATTAGGCGGAGTGCAGGAGAATACAGAAGGACTGAGCTAAAGAGAACCTCAACCTACCTGCATACAATGGATGGCCAGGCCCGGCCCAGTGTACAGCTTCTTGTGACAGATGTGACACTTGAAATGTTTGGCCTTCTGGTGTTGGATGAGGATCTTCTCATCATCAAAGTCTCTGTTGCAGTACCTGGGGGTGAGTTAAGGTCTATCCATAGCACACCTTCGTTCCCAATGGGCACTGCAATACTGCAAGCTCAGGTTCCCAGTCATTGGACTCGTCGCACTCAGACACAACCATTGGACTGAACATGCTCCAGGAGGTAGAGGAACATATTGCAGTGTGGAATAGAGAGAAGAGTCTGAACTCCTGCAGGACAGGTTCCTTCTTATCCCACCATGATTGTGTGTGCAGGAGAAAGCCACATCCATACGGCTCACTCTCCATGTCCCACTGACCACGCTGTGCAAAGGAGACCACACGTCCCTGCACTTACCATACAAATGAGGTCACAGCAATGAGAAGAGCGCACTCATGAATCAGCACCGGCACATGAACTGGAAGAGACCCTGAGATAAGAACTGTCAGTGGGACATGGAGAGCGGTCATTTACATCATACACCACTCACCTGCAAGCCCAGCACCCCACCACCACAACTCACCTGCAAGCCTGGATACCAGCACCATGGCTTCAGCTGCTTCTTCTTCTTCCGGCCCATTCCGACTCCTCTTCACCGAACACAGACCGAGCTACAGAAACCAACACACACAAAACAAGATGGCGCCGGCCGATGTTTCCCCGCCTCCTACTAATACCCTTCTCTGACTCCGCCCCTCCCACAACACCTCGCGGCCGTATCCCCGCCCACCAACCTACTCTGGACGCCATATTTGTTTCTGGCAGCGTTCTCATGGTATGTAAGGTAAATGTGACGTGTCCATTCTCTAATGACATATAATAATTTACTGTACTATATAATGCTACTGGATATAACCTCCAATGTATATAAGCACCTCATGTGATATATATCCTCCATTGTATATAATTCCCTCATGTGATATATAATTCCCTCATGTGATATATCCTCCATTCTATATAATCACCTCATGTGACATTACCCTCCTGTGTATATTATAAGCTCATGTGATATTATCCTCCATTCTATATAATCACCTCATGTGACATTACCCTCCTGTGTATATTATAAGCTCATGTGATATTATCCTCCATTCTATATAATCACCTCATGTGACATTACCCTCCTGTGTATATTATAAGCTCATGTGATATTATCCTCCATTCTATATAATCACCTCATGTGACATTACCCTCCTGTGTATATTATAAGCTCATGTGATATTATCCTCCATTCTATATAATCCCCTCATGTGATATTATACACCGGTGTATATTATAACCTCATGTGAAATTACCCTCCAGTGTATATTATAACCTCATGTGATATTACCCTCCAGTGTATATTATAACCTCATGTGAAATTACCCTCCAGTGTATATTATAACCTCATGTGATATTACCCTCCAGTGTATATTATAACCTCATGTGAAATTACCCTCCAGTGTATATTATAACCTCATGTGATATTACCCTCCAGTGTATATTATAACCTCATGTGATATTATACACCGGTGTATATTACCGGTATAACCTCATGTGATATCAGAGATTATTATGATATAGAATACATTTCATGGCTGTTAGTGGTAAATGTTATTGGAGAGTTAGGAACGTTTCTTCTCCAGGAACCTTCCTGCCAGTGTCTGTGTTTGGTGAGGAAGGAATTGTGTGGCGGACCGGTGACATCATCCATACATAGGCCAGTGCAGGATGCTGGCTGCACAGAGCTCCCTGGCTGAGTCTGTAGATGGAGAAGAACTGAGGAGTGACGATGGCGAGGAGAGGCGGCATGACAAGCCCACTGCTGACTACTACTGCCTGTACCTGTACCAGAGCGGAGGGTGAGACCCCCATACTACTGCCCCTCTATATTCCCCACACTCCTGCCCCTCTATATACCCCCCACACTGCTCCTCTATATACCCCACCCTACTGCCCCTCTATATTCCCCACACTCCTGCCCCTCTATATACCCCCCACACTGCTCCTCTATATACCCCACCCTACTGCCCCTCTATATTCCCCACACTCCTGCCCCTCTATATACCCCCCACACTGCTCCTCTATATACCCCACCCTACTGCCCCTCTATATTCCCCACACTCCTGCCCCTCTATATACCCCCCACACTGCTCCTCTATATACCCCACCCTACTGCCCCTCTATATTCCCCACACTCCTGCCCCTCTATATACCCCCCACACTGCTCCTCTATATACCCCACCCTACTGCCCCTCTATATTCCCCACACTCCTGCCCCTCTATATACCCCCCACACTGCTCCTCTATATACCCCACCCTACTGCCCCTCTATATTCCCCACACTCCTGCCCCTCTATATACCCCCCACACTGCTCCTCTATATACCCCACCCTACTGCCCCTCTATATTCCCCACACTCCTGCCCCTCTATATACCCCCCACACTGCTCCTCTATATACCCCACCCTACTGCCCCTCTATATTCCCCACACTCCTGCCCCTCTATATACCCCCCACACTGCTCCTCTATATACCCCACCCTACTGCCCCTCTATATTCCCCACACTCCTGCCCCTCTATATACCCCCCACACTGCTCCTCTATATACCCCACCCTACTGCCCCTCTATATTCCCCACACTCCTGCCCCTCTATATACCCCCCACACTGCTCCTCTATATACCCCACCCTACTGCCCCTCTATATTCCCCACACTCCTGCCCCTCTATATACCCCCCACACTGCTCCTCTATATACCCCACCCTACTGCCCCTCTATATTCCCCACACTCCTGCCCCTCTATATACCCCCCACACTGCTCCTCTATATACCCCACCCTACTGCCCCTCTATATTCCCCACACTCCTGCCCCTCTATATACCCCCCACACTGCTCCTCTATATACCCCACCCTACTGCCCCTCTATATTCCCCACACTCCTGCCCCTCTATATACCCCCCACACTGCTCCTCTATATACCCCACCCTACTGCCCCTCTATATTCCCCACACTCCTGCCCCTCTATATACCCCCCACACTGCTCCTCTATATACCCCACCCTACTGCCCCTCTATATTCCCCACACTCCTGCCCCTCTATATACCCCCCACACTGCTCCTCTATATACCCCACCCTACTGCCCCTCTATATTCCCCACACTCCTGCCCCTCTATATACCCCCCACACTGCTCCTCTATATACCCCACCCTACTGCCCCTCTATATTCCCCACACTCCTGCCCCTCTATATACCCCCCACACTGCTCCTCTATATACCCCACCCTACTGCCCCTCTATATTCCCCACACTCCTGCCCCTCTATATACCCCCCACACTGCTCCTCTATATACCCCACCCTACTGCCCCTCTATATTCCCCACACTCCTGCCCCTCTATATACCCCCCACACTGCTCCTCTATATACCCCACCCTACTGCCCCTCTATATTCCCCACACTCCTGCCCCTCTATATACCCCCCACACTGCTCCTCTATATACCCCACCCTACTGCCCCTCTATATTCCCCACACTCCTGCCCCTCTATATACCCCCCACACTGCTCCTCTATATACCCCACCCTACTGCCCCTCTATATTCCCCACACTCCTGCCCCTCTATATACCCCCCACACTGCTCCTCTATATACCCCACCCTACTGCCCCTCTATATTCCCCACACTCCTGCCCCTCTATATACCCCCCACACTGCTCCTCTATATACCCCACCCTACTGCCCCTCTATATTCCCCACACTCCTGCCCCTCTATATACCCCCCACACTGCTCCTCTATATACCCCACCCTACTGCCCCTCTATATTCCCCACACTCCTGCCCCTCTATATACCCCCCACACTGCTCCTCTATATACCCCACCCTACTGCCCCTCTATATTCCCCACACTCCTGCCCCTCTATATACCCCCCACACTGCTCCTCTATATACCCCACCCTACTGCCCCTCTATATTCCCCACACTCCTGCCCCTCTATATACCCCCCACACTGCTCCTCTATATACCCCACCCTACTGCCCCTCTATATTCCCCACACTCCTGCCCCTCTATATACCCCCCACACTGCTCCTCTATATACCCCACCCTACTGCCCCTCTATATTCCCCACACTCCTGCCCCTCTATATACCCCATACTACTGCCCCTCTATATACACCCCACACTGCTCCTGCCTGTAGTGGGTCGGAGGGTGAGACCCCCATATGATAGGATTTCCTGGTTTCTGTGGTATGACTGAGTCATTTCCTCCGGTGTGTCCTCTCTGTTCAGGGCCCCCCAAGATTCTGGGACCACTGATGAGGGTAGTCCGGGGAGCAGTGGTGCTGACACCCCACCTGGGGAAGATTTCAGGTGAGTTTTGCGGCCAGGCTTTCATGACATGAATGGAATATATTGTGTGCGGGATATCACTGTGCCGTGTGTGTGTGTGTGATTACAGCCTTTCCCTGGTGGACACAAACCTGCCGGCTGAAGCAGAGCCGGACCTCAGGAACTTCATGGCAAAGCGTCTCTCCCGTGGGGCCATGTTTGAAGGGATGGGTAACGTGGCTTCTGTGGATCTCAGGTGAGACATTGAATGAGGTTCTGTCCGTTCTCTCTGTGCAGTCACTTATCCGGAAGAAGTATGTGAATATCGCCATGTGATATGCCCGGAGCATGCACCTCCACAACATGGAGTATCGGAGGCAGCTCCCATAGTTCCACCCTGACAGGTCCTCTTTGAAGCATGCTTCCATTCCACCCTTGCAGTGCTGTATATAAATGTCAGCGATCTGATCATTGTCTCCTCTCTAGATCAGCGTGTCATTTGTCATGTTCTCTATGTTTATTCTCAGCTACCCGGAATGTTCCCTGGGCTGTTACTACTCTCTGATCCAGCAGACGGGTCATTCTGAGGCAGGACCGCAGTCCTCCGAGCACGTCGTGTGCTTCCTGGGGGGGTCAGAGAAAGGTCTGGACCTATATCCTTTGTGAAATTCTCCTGAGTTGTACAAAGGACACGTCTGCCAATCACCCGGCACTTGTCATTACCATGTACACCGGGCAGGTCCATATATCTGGAGTCCCATAGAGACCCGGCACTTGTCATTACCATGTACACCGGGCAGGTCCATATATCTGGAGTCCCATAGAGATCCGCACTTGTCATTACCATGTACACCAGGCAGGTCCATATATCTGGAGGCCCATAGAGACCCGGCACTTGTCATTACCATGTACACCGGGCAGGTCCATATATCTGGAGTCCCATAGAGATCCGCACTTGTCATTACCATGTACACCAGGCAGGTCCATATATCTGGAGGCCCATAGAGACCCGGCACTTGTCATTACCATGTACACCGGGCAGGTCCATATATCTGGAGTCCCATAGAGATCCGCACTTGTCATTACCATGTACACCAGGCAGGTCCATATATCTGGAGGCCCATAGAGACCCGGCACTTGTCATTACCATGTACACCGGGCAGGTCCATATATCTGGAGTCCCATAGAGATCCGCACTTGTCATTACCATGTACACCAGGCAGGTCCATATATCTGGAGGCCCATAGAGACCCGGCACTTGTCATTACCATGTACACCGGGCAGGTCCATATATCTGGAGTCCCATAGAGATCCGCACTTGTCATTACCATGTACACCAGGCAGGTCCATATATCTGGAGGCCCATAGAGACCCGGCACTTGTCATTACCATGTACACCGGGCAGGTCCATATATCTGGAGTCCCATAGAGATCCGCACTTGTCATTACCATGTACACCAGGCAGGTCCATATATCTGGAGGCCCATAGAGACCCGGCACTTGTCATTACCATGTACACCGGGCAGGTCCATATATCTGGAGTCCCATAGAGATCCGCACTTGTCATTACCATGTACACCAGGCAGGTCCATATATCTGGAGGCCCATAGAGACCCGGCACTTGTCATTACCATGTACACCGGGCAGGTCCATATATCTGGAGTCCCATAGAGATCCGCACTTGTCATTACCATGTACACCAGGCAGGTCCATATATCTGGAGGCCCATAGAGACCCGGCACTTGTCATTACCATGTACACCGGGCAGGTCCATATATCTGGAGTCCCATAGAGATCCGCACTTGTCATTACCATGTACACCAGGCAGGTCCATATATCTGGAGGCCCATAGAGACCCGGCACTTGTCATTACCATGTACACCGGGCAGGTCCATATATCTGGAGTCCCATAGAGATCCGCACTTGTCATTACCATGTACACCAGGCAGGTCCATATATCTGGAGGCCCATAGAGACCCGGCACTTGTCATTACCATGTACACCGGGCAGGTCCATATATCTGGAGTCCCATAGAGATCCGCACTTGTCATTACCATGTACACCAGGCAGGTCCATATATCTGGAGGCCCATAGAGACCCGGCACTTGTCATTACCATGTACACCGGGCAGGTCCATATATCTGGAGTCCCATAGAGATCCGCACTTGTCATTACCATGTACACCAGGCAGGTCCATATATCTGCAGTCCCATGAAGACCCGCACTTGTCATTACCATGTACACCAGGCAGGTCCATATATCTTGAGGCCCATAGAAACCATGTACACCAGGCAGGTCCATGTATCTGAAGTCCCATAGAGACCCGGCACTTGTCATTACCATGTACCCCAGGCAGGTCCATATATCTGGAGTCCCATAGAGACCCGGCACTTGGCATTACCATGTACACCAGGCAGGTCCATATATCTGGGGTTCCATAGAGACCTGGCACTTGTCATTACCATGTACACCAGGCAGGTCCATATATCTGGAGTCCCATAGAGACCCGGCACTTGTCATTACCATGTACACCAGGCAGGTCCATATATCTGGAGTCCCATAGAGACCCGGCACTTGTCATTACCATGTACACCAGGCAGGTCCATATATCTGGAGTCCCATAGAGACCCGGCACTTGTCATTACCATGTACACCAGGCAGGTCCATATATCTGGAGTCCCATAGAGACCCGGCACTTGTCATTACCATGTACACCAGGCAGGTCCATATATCTGGAGTCCCATAGAGACCCGGCACTTGTCATTACCATGTACACCAGGCAGGTCCATATATCTGGAGTCCCATAGAGACCCGGCACTTGTCATTACCATGTACACCAGGCAGGTCCATATATCTGGAGTCCCATAGAGACCCGGCACTTGTCATTACCATGTACACCAGGCAGGTCCATATATCTGGAGTCCCATAGAGACCCGGCACTTGTCATTACCATGTACACCAGGCAGGTCCATATATCTGGAGTCCCATAGAGACCCGGCACTTGTCATTACCATGTACACCAGGCAGGTCCATATATCTGGAGTCCCATAGAGACCCGGCACTTGTCATTACCATGTACACCAGGCAGGTCCATATATCTGGAGTCCCATAGAGACCCGGCACTTGTCATTACCATGTACACCAGGCAGGTCCATATATCTGGAGTCCCATAGAGACCCGGCACTTGTCATTACCATGTACACCAGGCAGGTCCATATATCTGGAGTCCCATAGAGACCCGGCACTTGTCATTACCATGTACACCAGGCAGGTCCATATATCTGGAGTCCCATAGAGACCCGGCACTTGTCATTACCATGTACACCAGGCAGGTCCATATATCTGGAGTCCCATAGAGACCCGGCACTTGTCATTACCATGTACACCAGGCAGGTCCATATATCTGGAGTCCCATAGAGACCCGGCACTTGTCATTACCATGTACACCAGGCAGGTCCATATATCTGGAGACCTGGCACTTGTCATTACATGTTATAAGCACAATGGAGGATCAATGGAAGTCCCGAGACTCACCATAGAGAGAACCATTCACTCTTCATCAACAGATAGAAGTGACACTACTCGGCATCACTCTGTAGAACTGTCCTGACAATAATACATTTGTTTACTAGAATGGGGGAGGGGCAGTGTAGTTAAAGGATCTGAATTCTAGTAATGAAGGGACCGGTCTATGAGCTGGCCGACTCCGAGATTCAGGTGAGAATCATTTTTTTGTTTCCCCTCCTAGACCAAAATGAGCAATTAACCCTTTTAGGGCTGGGCCTACGCCACTACACGGGTTAAGAATAATTCCTGCCCGGGTGTTTGCTCTGGTTTGATTGTATCCCGGAGTCATGCTAATGAATGACAACACTCTCTCCGCTTCTGAAATATGTTGTATGCTTTTTGGAGGGATTTACTTCACAGTGAAACATTGTCCATGGATGTCTGTTCATCTCTCCTTCCTGCGGATCGATAGGTTGGATAGTCCTCACGTATCGGAGCTCGAGACCACACGGTCGGGACCCTGGGCCGGATTGCTCGTGCCCCGTTGGAGGCAATTCTGATGCTCCCACTTTCTATGGATGTGGAGAAATTCTTCCACTGGGATCACATGAGGTTTCCAACTCCTCTCAGATCCTGACATGGATACGGGTGTTGTACTTGAAATCAATGCCGTCCCCTACCAACGATTAACCATTGCTAAGGGCACCTGTCATGGCCATCCCCCTTTTCCTGCTTCTTTTCATCATCCCTCTGGAACCTTTTCTTTGGATAATCGGATCCGGCGTGGCCATTGATGACCGGTCTACATCCCAAGACCTTGTGGCCTATGCAGGCGATTTACTGTTCTTTATGACCCAACTTAGGAAATGGCTTCCGATGCTTCTCAGAGGAGCTCAGACCAACCAAAAACCAGACGTTCTGGACGTCGCAGTACCACTAGACATTGTCCAAAGTCTGAGCACACATGTCCCCTTCAAATGGTCCCAAACTGCATTTGCATGTCTAGGAGTACATGTACCCGGACTCTACCCATCAATCCTGGCAGAGTCCGGAGGGGGAACTTTACCCCCTAAAAACCTTGTATTGTGGTAAAACTTAGACTGAAGTGTTTGGCCGGATGAATGCCCCCCCTAGACTCCTATACCTACTACAGACACTGCAGTCTCATTCCCCAGTGCTTCCTGAAACCTCTATGAGCGGAGTTCATAAGATTTATTTGGGTGGGTGAAGTGTCTCGTATTGTGGCCAGCACACTATATCACTACACACAATACGTTGTGGCCTATGCAGACAACCCAAATCCAGGGGAGGTATTGGGTTCCCGGACCCCATCCTGTACCATGCCGCAGTCCACCTCGCCTGATTAATTGGTGCTGCCACCAAGGTACTAAGCTCTGGGTTACATTACAACACAACCTTCTTCCCTTTCCCTTACCAGAAGCACTCTGAATGGGCAGCTCTATGGTCCCGTATCCATAACTGTCCTCCAATGTAATCTACACCGAGTACATGGACCACGTCTTCCAGAAGATGGGTGTAGCTTGTTATCCTTTACCTTTGTCGCCCATCATAGGTCACCCGCCAATTTTTACCTAGTTATGGCAACCCATCGGCGTGCCCACTACGCGAGTCTACACCAATGTGTACATCACAATATAAAGCATCATTGACGACCCATCTCCTAAATGTGGCCTGCATTGCAGCAGTGTAGATACAAACATCTCCTCCTACCCTTACCTACTGGTTTACAAGAATAGATGACATCATGCTAATGGAAGATCGAACCGCATTCACAATCTTACCCACCAACTAGAACAAGTCCTCTGCTGGACTTGGGAGTCATTTTCAAGCCTTCGCAGGTTGTGGTTTCTAGTCCATTTCAGGATTCTTCCCTGGTGAGTCTCACCTTGGCGAGGTGATTGTTTGACTTTGTCCTCTTGAGTTACGGGGTCCTCATCTCCTGAACCTTAATGGGAGAGGTAAGTAGGGACTTCAGGCCTCCCTGCTTAGACTGCCTGGTCTTGTCCTTACAAGGACTTTTGCTTAGGTCCATGGTTTGGTCTTTGTTTCTTCTAGGGACTTGTTCCCTTTCCTTGTTAATCATGCTTGGTTGGGTTTTTGGGGAATTTGTGATTGTTCTATCCAATTGGAGGGTTCAGGTTTTCCAGCTTCTCCCTTGGTCTATGGTTCGGTGCTCTCTTCCATGTTGGGTCATTCCTTTCTGGTTGGTGGCCATTTTGTTCCCGGTATAGGGCATCGGGCTAATTCTCTGTGCCCTCTGCTGTGTGTAATGCCAGAGATGGGTGTTCCTTTCAGGCTGCCACCACCAATGGGCTAGCAGGGGGGTGAATTGAACACAGGGGGACTGGGCTGGAGTGTGTTTCCTCATTTGCTTTGAATGCTGAGACTTGTGAAGGACAGGAGAGTACGTCTGGTGTGCTCACTCCTCCACAGGAGTCTGGATGAAATGTAAAACCTTACCCCAATCCCTAAACATGTCTTCCATATTGTATATTGTGCTCAGGTTTCTGTCTGCTGCCACCAGGTAATATCACAAGTCCGGGAGAATAGAGGATCACCTGTAGAGTGCTAGTAAGATGAGGCTTGTCCATGCTGCAGGATACAGATAGGTGAAACCAGACGGGACGTGGTGGCTGTGCAGCATGACTGCATTCACATTGCGCATGCTGCTGTATGCGCCAACACAGGTTTCCAGGCCGCTAGGGAAGGATGGTGGGGATTGGAATAGGAGGTCACCTCTTTTCATGGTGTCGGAGCATTCTATGATATCATAAGATAATGAGTGACATTCTGATATTGTGACCAAACACACTGGAAGGTTACAGATTCCATCATGGTGGGTAGGCAGGGCCTCAGGAAGGTGGTAGGCACATCAAGGGATGTTAGGAAACTGCTATACTGAGGCAGGGAAGGATTGTAGTTTGATTCCTTAAGATGAAACCTTCAGACTTGAACTGGACAGATATGTGGAAGAGCTGAAGACTAAGATACAGGTAGGATGAGACTCTGCCACTGATTTGTGTCTATAGTTCCCTTCTTAGGGCCACACATCTCATTCTGTGCTCTGTGCCTAGATGGGTAACCTGGACTCTGACATCCGGCCTCACCTGAGCAGCTGGTTTGAGGTCTCCATATTGCCGATCCAACGAATAGTGAACCTTTTCCAGGAGAAGCTGTCCTACCTACTACATGCGGTGAGAGAATGGTGTCCTGGATATGTAAGCATGGCCCCTAGTAGGATGGGCTTCCCCTCTGTGCGGGTGACATCCTGTGATTGTTGTGTAGGCCTTCCCTCTGTATGATTTATTATTTTTCTGTGTTAGTGCCCCTGATTGTGTCTACACATCATCCTCACGTATTACTCTTCCCCTTTCCAGGCACTTAGCTACACTACAGTGGAGGTGACAAACTCTGACGAGAGGACTAAGAATGATGTCAGCAGGTAAGGATGTGCGTCCCCTGTTTTTGGTCATGCCCTGTCATCAGAGCCTTTTGGTCGGAGGTCACTTCCTTCATGGAAACTGGCCTCGGCTTCCCCAATATTTGCAATCCTGCGTTCTGCCTCCTAGGTCTATTTGGGGAGCTGCCATTGGCCTCAAAAACTCAGACACTCCTCCGCCTCCTTCTAGTCTATGCCAGAAAGACCATCCTCCTGGTCTGGGGTAGCCCGACGGCTCCCTCCCTGGGCCAATGGAAAAGACTAGTTGATCAGGCATTGCCCATTTACAAACATACATACGAGCAGAGGGACAACCCGGCAGGTTTCAGGCGTATCTGGGATCCATGGCTGTCCTCTTCCAACACACCTATAGAGATGGGGTGAAGTACTGAATACACTCTCATTCTTTAGCCTACTGACCCCATTTCAGGTTCTCTGAAGCCCTGGAAGTATTTCCTATAATGTGGACTACATGTGGCTGTGTCCAACTCCCAATACCACGTATTGAATCTTGTAACCATATGACTGTGTAACCTTGTGATTCTATGATTATATGATATGTGCGGAGTGTGTAGATAATTGCCTGTATGTCTGAAGGGTGTTGTTACTATTATTGTGTCTATGACACTTGAAAATCTCAATAAAAAGCATCTTTAAAAAAAATGATGTGCGTCCCATGGCAGCAGACCTGCTCTACCCACATTGGTTCCCCTTCTGGTTACTCTCCTCATGCCTGTGTGGTGCCAGCTAGGTCTGGAATCTGTGAGGAAGTAAACCACAGTCACCTGAAAGGTGGCAG